TGAGTATCCATGCTAAAAATTCTCAAAATTGCTCTCAATTTGTTCCACTCTCTCTAGAACTAAGGAGCAATAGGTTTCTCTCTCCAAAAGTTTTCATTCTTGTGTAAAATCTTAGCTCCACTTATATACCCACGCGTAGAGTCGAGGACAGAACAATACTTCAAGACTGCAACACTAAATTAGCTTGCCATGACATAAAAAATGTTGTCTTGATGAGTTTCTTCTCTCTTTCTGTCCGACGTATCAATTTCGCGTCTTTCGCTCTTTGGAGTTTTCACAGAGCTGCCCTCTTTGTGGCATATCAGACTCTTTATCGGGGGTACGGTTGCATACAGACTACCGTTCTTTATTATTATCTGCTATGTAAATTTGTTGTCTATCCATTCCCTGGGAGTTTATCTTGGATAAAAAAAAAGTAAAAAATCCAGTACTGTGAAAACCGAGCCGAGCCGCCAAAACCGCCAACCGGGCACAAAACCGGCTCGGATGAGCTATTTAGCCGGACTGGTTCTTTGGGGCGGCCGGCGAGCGGCCGAAGCGGTTAACCGTTCGAACCGCTCGAGCCGGTCGTACGGCTTTTTACATTCGACCGGTTGGTTTAATTAAAAAAAAGTTCGAAAATTAAAGGGGGTTGGGGTCGGGCTGTTCTGCAGAAGCAGAACCCTTATTTTTTTCATTCTTCTTCGTGGAGAAGAGGAAGCGCCGCTTCCGACTCCAAATCCGTCTCCATCGCCGCCGTTCCTCCTCGTCGCTGTTCCCCGTCTCCATCGTCGTCCTCCCCGTCGTCGTCGCCATCTTCCCCAACGCCGTTCCTCCTCGTCGCCGCAAATCCATCGTCGTCGTTCCTCCTCGTCGCCATCGCCATCTTCCCCAGCGCCGTCTCCATCGTCGTCTTCCCCGTCGCCGTCCTCCTCATCGCCGTTCCTTCTCGTTCTCGCTGCCGAGGAGGAAGACGGTAGAAGAAGGTAGCTAGCTCCTTCTCGTTCTCGCCTGCCCGCCGATTCCCCATCCGATTCCCCATCGCTGCCGAGGTAAAATGGACAGTACTAATTCTAATTGGCATTTTCCTTCAATCAGTTGCTAATTGGATAGTACTAATTGGCATTTTCCTTTAATTAGCAATTAGGAGAAGAAGGCGATGGAGACGGCATTTTCCTTCAATCAGTTGCTAATTGGACAATACTAATTGCTCATTTTATTTGCTGATTTGGAATGCGGTGACTGCCATTTTCCTTCAATCAGTTGCTGAGTGCTAGCAAACTGTGGATCCCTTAAGTGCATTTTACTTGTGGTTTACCATGATTAAGAAGTGTCTACTATTACAGATGACTGTTTATTAGGTACCGGTTCTCAAACGGTTTTTAAACGGTCTAATGCCGGCTGGACCACTAATGACCGAGCCGTTCACGTTACCGGGTCATACTCCCGCTCGGCTTTGACAGCATTGAAAAAATCCATCCTATATTTTCCAGCGCATAGCTACATCTAGCCTAAGTACTTTGGGGTCCAAAATGTACAATTTAGGTGTTACCATTTTTAAAATGACTTGATTAAAAGTGAACTATCTACAAGGGTTGAACTTTTGGGGATAATAAAATAACATAATAGTACCTAAGTTAATGTTAGAACTTACAAGCCAAGTGTTGTTAAGCCTTAAAAAGGATGGGAAACTACTTCAACCTTGATTCTCGTTCATTTGTAATTATGAAAAAAGCTCCAGAAAAGGAGGGATAAAGATAGGGATAGGGAAGAAGAGAGTGAAGTTGGAAATTGGCGGTCGTTTATTTTTATCGCAGTTTTCACCTTCTTCCCATCGTAATCTAAAGAGATGTTCTGAGTAAAAGTGAAGGGAAGGGAACGACAAAGCTTTAACGAAGGTCGAAGAGGAAGGACCTCATTTTATTTTTGAGCAATTTCTAACCTAATATCTCCTTTAGTATGAGCTTGGTAGTTGGGTCTTGAACCGACCCATGCATGTTGGTTTGTGACATGGAAACTGGTTTATCTGATTTTTCTGATGAAAAATGTGGATGAGAATAGTTTACCTATGTTACATTTTGTGAAATGACCATGGACGAATTGATGTTACGAGTTGTGTCTGTCAATAGAGGTGGCAATTGGATCGGATTCGTGGATTGGATTGGTGGATCCATGGATCAAATGGATTGGATCCAATGGATTGGTGGATTCATGGATTGGATCAAATGGATTGGTGGATTGATCCATGAATCCAAATGACATCCAAGACTTGGACCAAAATGTAAAATTTGAAAAGTTTTTGTACTAAAATGTCATAATGAAAAATTTTAGGTACCAAAATGTAATTTTCCAATGATATTTTTCGTATAAAAATATAAATTTTAGGTACCAAAATGTAAAATATAAAAAATATAGGTACCAAATTATAATTTGCCATTTGGATCCATGGATTGATCCATGAATCCACCAATCCAATTGGATTTGGATCAAATGGATTGGATTAAGTGGATAATTTGGTGGATGGATTGGATTGGATTCATGGATTTGGATTCTAATTGCCACCTCTATCTGTCAATCATTCTCATGTGTAAGTGGATGATCTATCATGATATGTTGAATGTAATTCATTGCTTATTACTCGATAAAAATGACTATTATAAGTGAAAGAATGTATGTGATGAGTTAGGAGAAAATTAATCTGCTAACTTGAAGATTCGTTAGCAGATACTAATTGATATCCAAAATATATGAACTAGTATCCAAGTACTAAAGTATCTAGAGAGCACATACTAGTATTCAATGTTTGCTAACTAATATCCACCATGAATCAACTATTATCTCAAATTCACAAACTAATATCTAGACAACACAGAATAGTATCCATACAACACATAATTAGTATCCAGATAACACATAAGAGTATCTAGATAACACATAAGAGTATCCATATTGAATACTAGTTGGTTGATTGTGGAAATTAGTTGGTATCTGCTATCTGGATACTAGTTTGTGATGATTTGAATACTAGTATGTGCTATCTAGATACTTTAGTATAATCAGCAGATTTGGATACTAGTTCATACATTTTGGATATTAGTTAGTATATACTAACAACTTATGCAGTTAGCAGAATAACTTGGCTGGGTATATTATACCTTGTTAATTTGTCAATAGTTTTTTTTTTTACGAACAAGGGTGTGACCTAGTGGTAATACAGCAAGCCTAAAATCTGGAGGTCCCAGGTTCGAATCCCTTCAGTAGTACCTTAATCACAAAAATTTAAACCTGTATCATCCTTATAAAAAAAATAGATAGGTTTTTTTTATGAAAAAATATGTAGAAACTATTCATCTAGGGGCCGTTTGGATTAGAGATTTGGATGAGTGATTTGTTAGGGATTTTAAAACAATCTCTCATTCTGCAGGATTTTAATACAATTATGCGTTTGGGAAAGATGAGGAATTTTACAATTAGGAATTTTAAAAACTCTCAATCGTGGGTTTTAGAAATAGCTGATCACCATCAGCTATTTCTAAATCTCTCGTTCTTCTTTTATTTATTCCAAAAACTACCCTTCATTCGACTCTTCTTCCTTCTTCTCTGACTGACCTTATTACTCCAATCACTCCACCCTCAATCGCAGACGCAGAGCATCCTGAGCAGCATCCAGATTTCCCCAACCAATGCCACATCTATCAACCTTCCCCGTTGTCCTATGCCATTGACCCCCCAGTCGCCGCCACTACGGCTGCGATCGAAGAGCTCCAAAAGACGACAAGCAAGCATTAGGTCCGCCTGCCGATTTGCTGGTCGGTGGTCGCGCCGCAAACATCCCCACGTCGGCGCCAATTTGCTGTTTGGATGTGCTTGGTTAAGAGTCGAGAAGAAGTGAGGGAATCTGATGGGTCAGGTGGAATATCGGGGAAGGGGGTCAGATGCGAATTGCGATAGAGAAGGAGGAATCACCCAATCTGGGTTTCAATCGATTGACTAGCTAACTCGAGGCATATGAAGTGGAATACAAAAGCGGTAACCAGCTAGGGTCGTTTGGAATCGGAAGGGAGTGAGATGTATATGCAATTTTGGATTGGGGTTCTTATTTGTCTCCGATTCAGAGTTTGTTATCTTCTTCTTTCTTTTACCTGCAAACAATAATGGGATTATGGGTTTGTGATGGAAGCATATAAGAAGAGTAGTATGATTAATTGGTGTAGAAGCAGGGGAAGAACAATTGATTGCTAATTGTATTACAAACGAAGATGAACATGAGGGAAGATGACAAAGGATATTAATGTAATTTGAGTTTTAAGGTTAAAATTCTGCGTTTTATTCAAACGAGTTATTTCTATTAAATCCTGCATACAAATTTCCTGGTATTTTAAACGATCAAAATCTCTCGTTATTAAAATCTCTCATCCAAACTACCCCTATAGTCAATCAATACGAGATGTAGAAAATGGAAATAAATACAAAAAATTGAAAGGAGCCTCTGCTTTCTTGCCATCGTCATTTTTGAAGGTGGCAGATGTTTATTTTCCCACAAAGGTAAGTAAAAGGGCAGAACATACCTCTTGTTGCTGTGCCTTATAAAACTCAATCACTCACTCCCATGGTTGTCACGCCGGCCGGCGTGCCATCGGTTGTACCTGGTTCAACCGGTACCGGTCATAAAACCGGCATGACACCACCGGTATGACCGGCATGATCGATATACGAATCTCCTAGTAAAATGACCTTATTTTAGTGAATTTAATTAATAAAAATTATTTTATTACTTATTTTATGAGTATAAAAGTTAAATATTGATGTTATTTGTTGGATTCAAGTATAAATGTTTAAGTATTGACGTTAAATGTCATGTTTAAATATGAGTATTTATAATTTTATTTGTAATATTAACCGGCATGAACCGGCACAAACCGGTATGTGCCACCGGTTGAACCATTCCACTTGCTAAACCGGCACACTGGCATAAACCGGTTTGACAACCTTGCTCACTCCTCAAAAACAAGAATAATCTCTCAAATCTCAAATCTTTTCTTTCTTTCCTTCCTTCTCCTTTCTGTCACTTCTCTGCTTCAAAGTTGCAACCTTTCTCCCCTTTACCAGAGGAAAACCAACAACCCCAGTCCCAGAAACCACAGACCAATTTCCCCATTTCCGCAGAAGTCACAGAAAGGCCCAGAAATTCAAATGCCTTGACAATCCAACATCTCTGAAAGTGAAACCCTTCTGCATAACCATTTTCCCTGTTCAATTACAAACAAAGGGTACAGATGAGTTTCAGCTCTCTTCACTCCCAAAGTTTCTACATTGCCCTGAAAATCCCCACCAGCTTCTTTCGCCGCAAGCTCTAAAGGGTAACTGGTTTTCCCCCTGAAGCCCAAAATTCCATCGTCTCTCTGCCCATTTCAGTTGAGGAAAACAGAACGACGAAATCCCTCTCTGTCTCTGATCATATATGGCGAACAACACAGTCTCCGGCGGTTTCGTCGGTTTTGGCCTCCTCTCCTGCGATCCTCTCTGGATACCTCCTCCTTCCGTCGATTTCCACGGTAATTTCACATTTTCCCTTTTCACTGCCGAAACCCTTTTTTTTTTTCTTCATGTTTCATCCTCTGTTTTCTCTCAACGGAATGCCTTTTTCTATTCTCAGGGGAAAGACATATGGTGGATTTCGACAATGTTGGGTGCGGAGACGCCATGGACGGAGGATGTCTCTTCCACTCTCTGGTGAAAGAAGAGCTCTGCGACGAGGATTTCGAACTGGGTTCCAGCCCTAGAGGGAAGAAAAGGCGGCTGACCATGAGTCAAGTTCAGTCCCTGGAAAGGAGCTTCGAGATGGAGAACAAGCTGGAACCGGAGAGAAAAGTCCAGCTTGCCCAGGAGCTCGGCTTGCAGCCTCGCCAGGTCGCCATTTGGTTCCAGAATCGCCGGGCTCGGTTCAAGAACAAGCAGCTGGAGAGAGATTTCGACTCCCTCCGCGCCAATTTCGACCGCCTCAAAGCCGATTACAGCTCCCTGCTCCATGAGAAACAAACCCTAAAAAACGAGGTACAAAAGAGGGGTAAAAAAAACCCTGCTTTCCTAATCTCCCCCCAAAAAATTCGCCTGATTGTGTCGAGAATTTTCCCACAGGTGAATTCACTGAAGGAGAAATTGGGGGTGAAGGGGAATCTGACTAATTCAGGTGGAACGGCGACGTTTCTAGTCCCGGCGGCGATTGTCCCGCCGCCGCCGATGAAGCCAGAGGAAGCTGCCGCCGCGGCGGCGAAGAAGAGTGACCCGATGATCAATTCGAACAGCCCGCATTCGGTGTTGATGGAAGCGACGGAGTCGTCGCAAGTCTTTGAGGAGAATCACTCGGATTACTTCTCCCAGGACGAAGACGATACTCTGCACAACAACAACAACAACAACAACCAACTTCTGATGATGGCTCAGCAACCCATTAATGGCTTCCCCAAATTCAACGAGCTTCCCGGCGTGCCCAATCCCTGCGGTTTCGAGTTTCCTGTGGAGGATCAGCCCTATCTGGTGCTGGATTCGATGAACTGGATGTGATTTTTAACCCATAAGGAAAGTCCGTCCAGAGTTTCCCGGAGGCTTTGTAAAGAACCAGAAAGCAACCAAAAAAAATGTTCAGTAGTAGTTCCAATTTCACCACAACTCATCACAAGAAAAGATTGGCGCTCTTGGTGCTAACCACGGTAGTTTAATCATGTGGTTGCAGTAAGCAATGCATGGCACTCAGACGAGAAAGTTGGCTTGGAGTGAAGCGAAGTTGCCCAGGGCGTCAATGGTTGTTACTTAATTAGTAAATAAGTAAAATGTAGAGTTCTTTTACTTGCTGAGTTATTATAACTCTCTGCTTAGGGTGAGTTCCCTTTGTAAATAAAGCAAAACCAAAACCCATTTTCAGCCTTTCTTGCTGAAACGGAGTTGTCTGATATTTCAGTTACTTTCTTTTTCCCTTCAATGGCGAAGCTTATTCATGGTCGGATGAAAGCAAATAAACAATATATACTTCTTCGTTTACTGTGAGACGTTATTTAAGGGATTGGACCCTGAGAAGGTGAGACCTCCAAATTGAAGAACAAAGTGACAATACTATTAGATCAAACTCTTATATGCAAGTTAGGTGTTCATTCTTATATTTCATTCTAACACGTTTGTTATATTATCCCATGCAAGTCAATACTCCCTCCAATCTTGCTCAATGTAGAAGACTTGGACCATCATTCTCTTTTAATTTAGGCCTAATAATTTCCAAATCTTTAGCATAACAATTTTGGTGGTAGTTTCACTGGTCTTCAATCTGAAGGTCACATGCTTCGATTTGTTAATTAGTACCTATCAATGAAAACAAACTTGTATCATCCTTATACCATACTTTAATTCAATATTAAATCCAAGTAAATGCTTAAACAAAAAGCAATACTAACACTTCAGATAACATTACTTTAAAAGAGAGTGAAACTAAACGGGGCATCAACTCCTTTAACTCCTTGTGTATTTATTTATTTTGATTATAAACGACTGATAATAAATAATAACTGCACGAGTACCTGTCAATATTGATAATTGTTTTAACCTGACCAGATATAGACTTATTAAAGAATATCTTGCTGATATAAACAAATTATAAAAAGAGGCTTTGCTGATATCGACACATATGTTCTTCACAATTTCTGTTCCATAAAATGTATAAATGATTCTCTTTCTTTTAATTAGTCTATTATTATTTGATACATGCTTGAATTTGGTGGGATGTGGGTTGCAAATATGAAATCTTTTTTTGTTTTTAAGAAAAAGGATGCAAGTATAAAGATTGTGAATAATTTGTTGGGTTGATAGATTGGAGTCATGTTTATATAGCAAGGATACACTATTTCGAGATTCGAAAGATAATATCGTATATTTGAAATCTTAAAGTTCACATAACATCATATGCAATGTAATCCAATTAGAAAAGGTAAGATTGTTGATGTATATGGGCTCGGCCCATTCCCCCCTCACGTATGTACTGGGTTTGGCGGGTTTGGGGTCAGCCGAGAGGCTAGCTAGGGTTTAACCTAGCTCATATATATACGTAGGTAACCTGTAAGCTGAAGTTAAGCTGAATAAGAGTAACGTATAGCTTCGGCCGTGGAATAGTCTCGTTCACACGGAACGAGGAAACCACGTACGTAAACTTGTGTGTTCGTTATCGTTTCTGTTTGTGAGTTTATACAATCTAACATGGTATCAGAGCCTATGTCGTCTGATCAGATTATTGCACGTCTTAACTCTAAGAATTATGCTTGTTGGGAGATGGTTATGCTGGATCTTATATCACACTCTTACACGCCCCCTCAAACGAAAGCCAACCCATGAGCTTGAAGTTTACACAGGCCCACCATACCTTGTGCTTTAATCAACTGTTAATATTGGGGGTCGTGAAGATTCGAACACACGACCACTTGGTCAAACAAGTTCTGATACCATGTCAAGAACCAGTTGATCCCAATCACTCGAGTTGTTGGGAGATGGTTATGCTGGATCTTATACCACACTCTTACAAGCCCATTCCCCCCTCACGTATGTACTGGATTTGGCGGGTTTGGGGTCAGCCGAGAGGCTAGCTAGGGTTTAACCTAGCTCATATATATACGTATGTAACCTGTATGCTGAAGTTAAGCTGAATAAGAGTAACGTATAGCTTTGGCCGTGGAATAATCTCGTTCACACTGAACGGGGAAACCACGTAAACTTGTGTGTTCGTTATCGTTTCTGTTTGTGAGTTTATACAATGTAACAAAGATCACCAACATCAAGCATAAAAGTTCCGATGAGTTATGTTTGCCCTGCGCGGATTGAAAGCAAAATCGTATGAACAATAAAATCATTGAAATAAACTAATTATTTCAAGTTTTCTAATGAAACAGTAATTGTTTCAATTAAACTCTTCATTTTGCAGAAAGGGACATCTACAATTTGGTAAATTAGTTTAATTTATCCTCGTCAAAAGTAGGTGGAAAAAAGATATCGCTTTCTTCCCAGTTACTTTCATAGTTTCATTTTACATTTTTCCCATGTTGATATCAAGTTGGAAACTCTAATGAGTATAGAGTGAAAGGAATTTTATATGATAATGTTGCTCATTGATAATATTAATTAATTTATATTATTTTTATAATCTATTATCAAACAGATAATATTTTATACTATTTTTAAAAAATCTTTTTTGAAACTATACTAATTTTGTATCTAACTTGTATACTAAGTTACTAACAACTGCTTGGAATCATGCCTAGCTTATTTGTTTGCTTGCATCAGGTCATCAAAACTAGCTTCAAATTGTGATCATTTGTTTTTATGCAAATGTACAATCATATGATATTGGAGATTAAGATCACTCATCAACAACCTATTTTACTAGATCATTCTTATATAATATTTAAACGAATGATTAATGTTGAAATGACTCGTTTATTTGAAAAAATATGGAATTTTTTTTCGTGTTGTAGTAATTTGAATTTGCTAAGGAAGAGGGGAATTCAAACAATCCTGCTTGACGAATCGTTTGGCTAAAAATACCTCATTTAAGAGGTAATAAAACATCCAAACTATGCATGAATTAAGAAAATGTGTATGTAGCAAGGATTTTAAAACCGTATCGGAGATTAAAATATTTTGAACTGAAACAATAGTTTAATCGATATTCTTAACTGTTTCATAAACAAACAAAGTCACCATAAAAATATTAATATGGACATGCATAAAACATTGATACAGTAGTTAGCAAGAAAATTGGTACTTACTTTTTGACCCAAATGGAGTAGATTATTCAATGATGTGGACCATGTGACAAGTCTATTTGTTCAAGTTACTAATTTTGGGGAAGCATGTTGATCGAAAAAGAAAACCCCATAATCAAAAAGTAATTTTTTTTTTAAAAAATAATCCTTTCTAAACAGCCCCTAAAAATGAGTAAATGAAAAATTAGTCAAAGAAAACCCCATAGAGCAGAAAGAAAGAAGCAACCAACCAAAAAACAGAATATATTTCCAGGGTCAAGTCAACAACATCATGCTGTACATTTCAAATTTTTTGATACCAACTTAAATTTGTGAAAGTCCAACCAATGGCATCTATGAAGAAATTCTGTGACGAAGATCTTCACGTTCTAATGTTTTTTTTGTTCAATGAAATTTAGTATTAAGTTTCTTAAATTGGTTTATATACCACTTATACTGGTTTAGCAAGTGCTATGGTTCGGTCGGAACTCGGAATATAGCAATGGCAATGACAGGTCGAAATGTAGCATCCAGGTGCCCCCTCTGTTTTTTTGTTTCTTCCCCTTGGGTGGGGGAATTGATAGTTACAGTCTGTAGTATGTTTTTATGAGAATAGATACAATTATGTAGTCACAGTAACCATTCTGAGTTCCAAAAGGCACTTTTACTTCCATTGTGGTTAACGCCACCATATGGATCTTCTAGACTCCAGTGTAGTGTACCCAATTTCAAGAAAAAAGAAGGAATGGAGCGAAATTGAATTATTGACAAATCATTGATTTTACTAGATTCATAAGGTGAAAATAATAAGTAGGAGATCGAATAGTAAGGATCGATGTGGTTCTGTCTTCAAACAATAAATTTAAATTTTCATCAACGATCACATACTTTTTTTTAGAAAATTACAGGGCCCAATCTAGTTTCGCACAAATACACATTCTTGGTTATGCATCCTATCCTAAACCATGCTCTATATATCAATTGACCAGAGTAGTCAACAAGAATAAAGTACCACATTGGTGGAAGAAGGAAAGTGCAACTCATTTATAGCCTAACTTCCCACTTTATTTTATTGAATAAAGTAATAAATGGAATTTAATTTGATTAATTTCTCGAATTAGTTCGTAATTAATTGATATATTTGATTTTTGTGAAACGACGCAACCCTTTGGAAGGGAACTTCCGTTTCCACAAATAAAAGACCTCTGCAACGAGACTTCTTCTCTAACGAAAGTCACAAAGATTGCCGCTTTCGGACTTTGATTGGATGGAGGGACTCTTTGGAGTGATTTGCTCGCTCAATCCTACCAGCAATTAGTAGTGGGGCAATGGAAAGGCCCTATAAACAGTGACTGACCTCGGCCGATTACACTATTCTTCTTTGGGTTGGGTTGGGTTAGATCGGGAGGTCCCGTTGGGTTTCGATTCGAACCATCAATTTCATCATCTGTCAGACTGTCCCTTAATTTGGCAATAAATAGACGAAATGGACTTGCAGTCGTGTTTGTTGCCCTGTTCCAATGTGTATATGCTCTGTTCATCTACAGTTTTGAATAAGACAGCAGCAGCAACCTCTCACCCTCAGTCACTGCCCAGCTCGAATCTGCAGCCGGCCACACTGATGAGATCATTCGGCCCCAAGCCATTGAATTTGCAACTAAAGGTCACAACAAGACGCCATTAGTTAGAGAGATGTACGTGTATAAGAATCCAAGATCTTGCAAGCTTGTGGTTGTGGCGTGGGACAAGACCTGAATGTTGTACTTATGCAAATATGGAGCTGCTGTTATACCTTCCATCTTCCTTTATCTTGTAGGGGTGTGATACTCCTTCGCATGGTTGGGTACGTAGCTTCTTTGGACCTAAAAGATCAACCACAATATCGATTAGGTTGATCATTTTGTTTTCCCTAAAACTATTAAACAAACTATTAATGTTTAGTATGTTATAACTGTATCGAGTCTTGTAAAGGTGTAATTGATAATCCGGTCGAAGACATTGAATACTACAGAAGCAAGATGAACATAATTATAATGAAGAAGCATGAATATGAAATCAAGCTTCAAATTTATCTATTAAAAACTTAATAATGTAAGAAAAGGGTCATCCATCCGAAGAGGAACTAAAAACCAATCCTAAACGAAATGCATTAATCCACAAGACTACGTTAGCGCACCCTAGTTCTATGATATACATATCCCTCATATTTGGTGTAACTTATGGATAACCGGAC